GCTGCTGCCTGCTCCTGTCAGTCCCTCACTCACCCGACTCTCCTGTGGCACAACCGCCTAGGTCACCCTGCGCTCCCGCGTCTGCGTCACATGTCCCAGCACGGTCTCGTCCTTGGTCTCCCTGGTTCTCTCCCTGCTTTTCCCTCCTCCCCAGCCCCACCTTGCACGCCTTGCATCGAGGGCCGGCTTCGCTGTGCCCCTCACTCCTCCTCGTTTCCCCCTACCGCCGCACCGCTGCAGACACTGCACCTGGACGTCTGGGGCCCCGCCCCCGTCCATGGGCCACGTCGAGAGCGCTACTTTCTTGTGCTTGTCGACGACTTCACTCGCTACACCTCGGTCTTTCCCCTGGAGCGGAAGGCCGACGTGCCTGACGCCCTCATCCCCTGGCTTGTCTCTGCCCGTGTCCACCGAGGTCTCCCGGTCTTGCGTCTTCACTCCGACCGTGGTGGCGAGTTTGCCTCAGGTGTCCTTGGTCGCTTTTGTCGTGCGCAGGGCATCACCTAGACGTTCACCCTACCGGACTCCCCACAGCAGAATGGGGTCGCTGAGCGACGCATAGGTTTGGTCATGGAGGTGGCTCGCACCTCCATGATCCATGCCGGTGCACCCTATTTTCTGTGGCCGTTCGCCGTTCGCTACGCCGCTCACCAGCTTAACCTGTGGCCGCACCCCCAGCAGCTGCAGGTTTCGCCGACCCGTCTTTGGACTGGGTCTCCCGGTGACGCGTCTGCGTTCCACGTCTGGGGCTGCCGTGCTCACGTCCGTGCCTCCGGCACGGACAAGTTTACTGCCCGCACCCTTCCCTGCGTCTTCCTCGGTTTTCCCCTTGACGCGTCGGACTGGCACTTCTACCACCCACCGTCTCACCGCTTCTTTCACTCTCGCGACGTCACCTTTGACGAGTCTGTCTCTTACTACCGTCGCTTCCCCCACCGCGGTCCCCCGGTTACCCCCCCCCTGTTCCTGGTCACTCCCCCCCCGGTAGTCCCTGCCCCTCCCCCCCCTCCTCCCCGTCCTTCCCCTTCAGGTGTGTCCCACGTCACCTCTCTTCCGTCGGAGGTCCCGGTTGAGGAGTCTTCTGACTCTGGTGGTCCTACAGCGCAGTCCTCGCCGGCCGCCCCTCCCCAGGCGTCCCCTCCTCCACCGCCTCTGCCGCCGCTGTCGCCCCTGCTGTTGCAGCCGTTGTCACCTCCGCCGCCGCCGCCGCAGCCGTCGTTGTCGCTGCCGCCGCCGCCGCCGTCGCAGCACCCGTTCGTTGACTCTGAGGGTGCTGGCGTTGGAGTGCGTGCTAGTCCCGGTAGCCCTGGGGGTGGTACCGGTCCTCGAGGGGTTTCGGGCCCTGGAGCTGTTCCCTCTGGGGGTGCAGGTGTGGAGTGTGCCGATGGTAGCCGAGAAGCAGCTTGCGGTCCAGGTGTTTTGCGTTGTGCCGTCGCAGCAGCAGTCCCCGCCGGTGTCAGCCCTTCGCCTGCTCGGCCTTCCGTCCCCTGACCCTGCGCCTGTTCCTCTCCGACCGTCTCCTCCTCTTCCCGTCTACGGCCCTATGTTCACTCCGCCGGACTCGACCCCGGCTCATCTTCCCCCTCGTTCCCCTCCTGTGTCCCCTCCCCTGTCTCCTGATCCGACTCCTCCGTCTCACGTCTGGTCTCACCGTCCCTCCCGTGCTCGTCCTGCCTCCCGTGTCTTGCGCTCCCACCCTATGTTGCTTCGTTCCCACGCGTCTCGTCCTCCCCTTCTCCCGTCGCCTCCTCCGTCCTCCCTTGTTGTTGCACCCCCCCCGCTGTCTGACTATCTTCGTGCCGCTCGTCCTCTTGTTCCTCGGGTCCTTGCCTCTCTCGTTACCGACCCGTCTGTTCCGGTCTCGTGCCTGGACTCTCTTGTAGCTGCGGTCACTGACTTCGCCTCTACCCGCCGCCTTGACTACGCCACCGCTCTGGTCTCTGACCATGCCTAACCTCCGTCTGTCGGGGGTGCTCCTGCCCTCGGCAGTGACGTCCTGGAGGACCGCCAGTTTGAGCTTGCTTTCCTGTCCGAGGCATCTCCCCATCTCTGTTCCATGCTGCTAGTCCCTGAGGGTGACCCAGACGCTTCCGACATCCCGACCCCTCGCACTTACGCTGAGGCGACCTCGGGACCTTGGGCCTCGCAGTGGATAGCTGCCATGGAGCAGGAGATGGCATCTTGGAGATCCACCGGCACCTTCGTCGACGCAGTTCCCCCGCCTGGGGTGAACGTAGTCGATGGCCGCTGGCTCTTCAAGGTGAAGCGCCCTCCTGGAGAGCCGCCTGTGTTCAAGGCGCGCTACGTGGCTAGAGGCTTCAGTCAGCGTGAGGGGGTGGACTTCTTCCAGACCTTCGCTCCGACCCCGAAGATGACTACTCTTCGGGTTCTGTTACACCTAGCTGCTCAGCGTGACTACGAGCTTCACTCCCTCGACTTCTCCACTGCCTTCCTTCAGGGCAGCCTACACGAGCAGGTCTACTTGCGTCGCCCTTCTGGGCTTTACTGGCACCTTCCCTCCTGGGACCCAGTGGCTCCTGCGGCGCCCCGTCTACGGCCTGCGCCAGGCTCCCCGTGAGTGGCACGACACGTTGCGTGCTACGCTTGCTGACCTGCAGTTCTTTCCGTCTTCCGCAGACCCTTCACTCTTCGTTCGTGCTGGCCAGACTCCGTTCTACATCCTTGTTTACGTCGACGACCTTGTCTTTGCCACCGCAGATAGGGACGCACTGGCCTCAGTGAAGGCAGAGCTGCTGAAGAGACACACGTGCAGTGACCTTGGAGAACTACGCCATTACCTTGGCTTGCAGATCTCCAGGGACAGAGCATCCCGCACCATCACCCTGACTCAGTCACACTTGGTGCGCCCGGTCCTTCAGAGGTTCGGCCTTCACTTCTCCTCTGCACAGCCCACCCCTCTCCCTGTAGACCACAGGCTCTCCGCTCCAGTGTCTGAGGAGTCGGTAGAGCCCAGCGGCCCCTACTCAGAGCTGGTGGGCTGCCTCATGTACCTGATGACTTGCACTCGCCCAGATCTCGCATACCCTCTCAGCATCCTGGCTCGCTTTGTGGCCATAGGCAGACACCGACCACAGCACTGGTCTGCCGCTAAGAGGGTTCTGCGTTATCTTGCTAGTACATCGGGCATGGGGTTAGTGCTAGGAGGACGTGGGCCAGTGGTCCTTACTGGACACACAGACGCTTCTTGGGCAGACGACGCCGAGACACTCAGGTCTACCCAGGGCTACTGCTTCAGCCTTTGTTCAGGTGCCGTCTCGTGGAGAGCTACCTGCTCCTCGTCTGTTGCCCAGTCCATCTGTGAGGCCGAGATCTACGCTGGTGCCATGGCGGCACAGGAGCTCCGCTGGCTGACCTTCTTGCTCACTGACTTAGGTGAGCGGCCTAGCTCTGCCCCGGTCCTGTTCGCTGACAACAAGGCCATGATCCTCCTGTGTCAGGAGCCTCGACTCGAGGGCAGAGCGAAGCATATTCAGTTGCGGTACTTTCTCCTGCGCGAGTTACAGCAGCGTCGCCAGGCTCGCGTAGTACACTTGGCCTCAGGTGCCAACACAGCTGATATCTTTACGAAGGCACTTGCGCCTAAAGATCATCAGCGGCACTGTGTACAGCCTGGTCTAGTTCCTGTAGCCTCTCACTTGCTAGGGCCTTGACTTTGTACTGTCCTTTATATGTGTACTCAGACTGGACTTGTGTCCTCTCCCAGTGGCTGGACTAGTAGTGCCACCCTGGTCTTGTTCTTGCCTTGTCTGTACTCCTTCTGACTTGTCTTTTAGACCCTTGTCTCAGAGGCTGGACTAGTAGTGCCGCCCTGAGCTTCTTGTTCAGGACATGCCCCTATGCAGTGTAGGGGGTGTGTCAAACATGTGTATCTCCTATGTTTGCATAGACTGTATAGGGTCACCTCTTAGAGGGTACACCACTTAGGTATATTCACCTGTACTCTCTCTCTACTTCATTATTCAGTTCTCATTTTGATAGGGACGTCTGTACGACACATGCCTTAGCCAATTTTTGTGGGTTGCTTGGTGTGTGAGGGAATGTTTGAGGACTTCACCAATTTTTGTAGGTTGTGTGTGGGGGGGAATGTCTTTGGAGATTGGGGACTTCGCCTAAATTTCCGCATTGTGAGCCACATGGATGTCGTACTCAGGGTTCGTACGCGTTACTCCATGAAAACTTAGTTTTGGGATAACGCAAACCCTGAAATTCTAAGTGTTCACAGGCATACAACCCTGAAGAGGTTAGGGTTAAAAAAAGCTCAATCCTGAAAATTAAGGGTTGGCAAAAAAAATACCATGTGAAATCAGGGAATCAGGGTAAAATACCCTGAGAACGACAGGCCTGCGTGTAACATTTTTTACGAACACGCCTCAGGGTCGACCATGCAGAAAGGCTAAACGCTTTCTGGTTGGATTCGGTGCGATTTGTACTCAACAATACGTGGTACGGTGAATATTGGGTTAGGAAGATGTTCTAGAAAATGTTACACGCCCTTAGTGTGTAAGGAATTATGATTCCTTACTGGGGCTCGCCACAGCGCGTACTCATTAACCGTGCGCGTCCGCAGGCTCGGCCCTTGGTTATCGCGCCAAACCAGCCCCCGATGACCTTTTCGGCCCCAACCTGACCCCGAGTCGCCCCGAACCCATTTTGACCCCGTCACCCTCGGGACTATCGAGCCGTTGACTGGTCCAACCCTCGACATTCAACCTGGTCAACTCACACTATATAAGCCCTATGTCTTATTGGATAGATCACATTGTAATCATGTTCCCATTATTGTATTCTGCGCGATTCTTTATAATTCATAACATAGTGGATAATTTGTTCAAACCCTTTGTGGAAACCAGAGTTACCTGGCGGGAATTTGCGCGGCGATACAGTTGTTCGAGCTGTAGTCCAGAAGCATCTGTGAAGTGCGGTGTTGAGGGGTGGGTGGAGAAAACCTCCCTCTTTTACCCCCCTTCCACTGCTCCCTGGACTGTTCCCTCAGCTCCAGCAACCGCCATAGCTGCTGTACTGATTTTGACGACTGGAGTTCTTCTGGTGGTCTCGTCCATCCACAGTTCAGTCGCTCCTGGCGTTCAGCATTGCCGCCCGACGCCAGAAAAAGCAGTTCACTGCTCGTATACATAGCGCAGCAGTGTTAAAGCGGAGCGGGATTGTGTGGTATTCAAGATAGAGCGTGTCGAACGCACGAGGAACTCGCGAAACAGGGAGGAAAGCGTTGGATAGCGAGAAACGGAGCGCCGTGGGTCTGTCACGAAGGTTCGGAAGGGTGTTTAGGATGCCGCTTTAGAACCCCTTGTCGTCAAACTTATTAGTGACCACCTTAACGACATCTTTCAAGTGTGATTCGGGTCGTTGTTTCAGAGAGGCGCCCGTGGAACGATTTCGGGCCTGGCATCTAGGGCCGTGAGGAAGAGCCATTAACAGCGGAGTCAGAGACAGCGGGACAAAAGACCGGACCGTACCTTGAAAGTACTCGAAGAACGTCGAGCAATACGGTCGTCAGTGATGGCAACAATTCACAAGGGCGACATGGTGAGTCGCCGACAGTGCTGCTTTCCTTGATGACTTCTCAGTCAGCGAGCAACATCATGTCTGCTGCTTTCCCCTCTTTTTCTTCCTCCTTCCATTCGTCCATTTCCGTTCCATAGTTACTGTTCATCAACCGCTTCCCCATGCCTCCCGCCCTGTAGCCCTGTCACCGCCGGCCATACTCGTTGACAGGCTTCGCGGTCTTGCCGTTCAGGCTGTAGTTGCGCTAGACGGTAGGAGCCTGCTGGCTGCAGGTGTCTCTGCCACTGAAAATATATGCGCGTGTTTGAACATGTGGGTGTGTGTGCATGTGTGTGCTTGTGCTCATGTGTCAACATGTGTGCGCGCGCGCATGTGTGTGTGCGTGTGTGATCGCGTGTGTGCATGTGTCCATTCGTGCGTGTGTGTCCACCTGCCCGTCTACCGACCCCTCTCTCCATCCCGTGCGACCGTGGGAGCAGGTGAAGCTTATCAGTGCGGAGGGCTTTGAGTTCGTCATTGACCGCCAGGCAGCCATGGTCTCTAACACGCTCAGAAGCATGCTCAGCTCATCAGGTGTGCCATGCTCAGCTCCTCAGGTGTGCCATGCTCAGCTCCTCAGGTGTGCCATGCTCAGCTCCTCAGGTGTGCCATGCTCAGCTCCTCAGGTGTGCCATGCTCAGCTCCTCAGGTGTGCCATGCTCAGCTCCTCAGGTGTGCCATGCTCAGCTCCTCAGGTGTGCCATGCTCAGCTCCTCAGGTGTGCCATGCTCAGCTCCTCAGGTGTGCCATGCTCAGCTCCTCAGGTGTGCCATGCTCAGCTCCTCAGGTGTGCCATGCTCAGCTCCTCAGGTGTGCCATGCTCAGCTCCTCAGGTGTGCCATGCTCAGCTCCTCAGGTGTGCCATGCTCAGCTCCTCAGGTGTGCCATGCTCAGCTCCTCAGGTGTGCCATGCTCAGCTCCTCAGGTGTGCCATGCTCAGCTCCTCAGGTGTGCCATGCTCAGCTCCTCAGGTGTGCCATGCTCAGCTCCTCAGGTGTGCCATGCTCAGCTCCTCAGGTGTGCCATGCTCAGCTCCTCAGGTGTGCCATGCTCAGCTCCTCAGGTGTGCCATGCTCAGCTCCTCAGTGCCTTCCTCACATCTTTACTGACTCTTCTGGGCAAGCTTCGGCCCCCTTCTCAACCGTCCCATCTCCACACCTTATCCTTCCCTTCCCACCCCCGCATCTGCACTAGCGTCCCGGCTTGCATTCGTGCCTAAGGACTGTACGCACGCATTCACTTATCCACTTCTCTTTATTCCCATTCCCTTCCTCCTGTCAGTTAGTCCATCCGCCATACGTCCTTTCTCCCATCCTACCTACCTTCCCTCCCCAACCCCCCCCCCTCCAACCACTGCTCCCTCCCCACCGATGCCCCTATGCGCCTGACCCCGTCATCTCCTCCAGGGGGGTTCCAGGAGAGTGACAGCGGTGAGGTGCGGTTCCCTGAGATCAGCACGCCCATTCTGGAGAAACTCTGCCAGTACTTCTACTACAAGCTGCGATACAGCAACCCTGCCAAGTGAGACTTGGGGAAATGGGGGAGGGGGGAGGAGAGGATTCGGGAAAATGGGGTGAGGATGGGTGAGAGGTGCGGATGGGGAGAGGAAGAGGTGGTTGGGATTGGGAGTCAGGAAGGGAGGGGAGCAACCGTTAGAGGGGTTGTGGTGCTTTTTTTATCGTTCACATGTCAATAATTATGTATGAAACTGCTAGGTTTTGCAAGAAATTACACCAGACGTGTTCCAAGTTTAAGAGGGTGTCCGTTTTTCTCTCGCTCCGTTCTTCCTTCCGCGCCCTCGCTCTTTCTTACCAGCCAAAAGAACATTCCGGAGTTCAAGATTGAACCTGAGATTGCACTGGAGCTTCTTATGGCTGCCAACTACCTGGACACATGAAAAAACAGCTGAAGCATTCGATATGGACCCGAAAGGTAAACATGTCGAAGGGCACCTGTGAGGGAAGTACGGTAGTTTGGAAAAGCATTTGAAATAAGCTGGAGGTTTACTGCTTGTGATGAATGGTGCCTTGTTAGCTGTACATTGTAAAGCCGTGCTGGAGTTTCCTTGCTACGCAAATGGTGGGTTTCTGGGGGATTTGGTGTGTCGTCCCAAATCAACCTGTACAGAATTGGTACTGCACATCACACTCATGATTTCATACCTTAGTCTAATTTTTCGGTTTCATTGCCTCATACGTTCTTTTGTATGTTCGTACCAGGGCCCAAAATTGGTTTTAGGCCACTCTTTGAGATCAGAGTAGGAAAAAAAAAACGCCCTGACGGTCAGAGCTAAAAAAATTCAAAGTCTGATTTGGCAGGTTTAAAAAAATTCGAAGTCTTTGCTTCAAGTGTAGAACTCTTTGCACCCTTTCTAGCCTTGGCCATTTAAGGAACATTTTACATGAATGAAGTGGGCTGCACTGAGGTGTGGAAAGAAGGGTGTAGCGGATTTGCGCGTGCTGGGGGAGATTGGGGGATGGGATGGGACGGAAAACGATTCTGGGGCGCGAGAGGGGAATCAGATTTACATGGGCGGCAGAGGGGCGGGAAAAAAACCATCTGCTCGTGATTGGTTGGGTGTCAGAAGGGCGTATACGACGTGACGTGTCTTGCTGTGGTGTGGAGGACTTAGCGAAAAAAAAAAAAAGTAGCGGGGGTGTGGTTGGGAGGCATGTCTCTTGTGGGGGACTTAGCCATTTCTGGGTTGCGAGGGGGTGAGGGAGCTATGACTCTGGCTACGACTTAGCCGAAATTGCTGGCTTGCATGGTGCGTGGGGTGGGAGGAATGACTCTGGCTGCCAGGGACTTCGTCGAAATTTTTGGTTGCAGGGTGTTTTGGGGGAAATGTTTCTGGCCGCCAAGGACTTAGTCGGAATCTCGGAGTTTCGATACCAGGGTAGTTTTCAGGACGCCCTGAAGGGTCAGGGTTCGGGGCCCCGCAACCCTAGTTTCGGCAGGGTAATATTTTCGTAACACTTTTTGGATCAGGGTAATAAATTTCGTAAGTCTGATTTTTAAGACCAAATGAAAAAATGCCCTGAAAAATCAGGGCAATCAGGGCATTTTACCCGGCTAATTTGAGCCCTGGTTCGTACTGTCAACTTATGCATGTGCTCAGGGCCTCAGATTCGTTTTGGGGCACGCTGATTGCTCAGGAGTCAGGGTCCCCCCCCTTCAGCTCCCTGTTTTTTCAGGCCTCGCAAAAAAAATTACGCTGATCAATCAGGGTGTTGTAAAAAAAATGCGCTGAATAAACAGGCTCAACTACAGAAAACACGCTGTTCAAATACCACATGCCATTATTTGTCACAGGTCGTGATTACAGTCTTGGTCGGTCACTGTCAAGTTGGCACGAGTGACAAGGGGGGTGGATGGATGGGGAAATCGCGGTATTGGGCTGAGAAAAAGCCCTTAGGATCTTTTCAGAGACCAAGTCCAGCTGTGGAGACTTGAGACTTTGAGTAGTGCAGCGGAAGTTGAGACGGTTGAACCCTTGTACTAGTATGTGAGAACAAGTGATTGATTAAAGAAACAAGCATACAGCAATATATAGAGGATAAGAAAGCAGTTGTAGAACACAGTTACAGGAACGGTTTATCGAGTCGCACAGCGACTCGATTGCCGCTTCGGTTACCATCCGTGATGTTGTAACGGTCAGTCGTAACCTCCAGTTGCGACCTTTCGAGTCTTTTTACATTCTTTGTCCGCCCCCTCGTGCAACCTCCGTTGACTCGCGTGCTCCCCTGTAATCTTCCTCGAGTACAGTGTTATACTTCAGAAACGCTCAAGTCCTTTGAGATATTTCCAACACTCCCCTTCGTTTCTGGAGTGCTGGTGTGTTCAGATCCGGTGACGTTTGTTTGCCCGGTCAGGAGCATGCAGTAGTCGAATTTTGCTTTCGCCAATTTCTTCGTCAGATAATCTGCGGCCATTTCTGTCGTCGGGCAGTAACTGAGTTGAAGTCTCCCCTTCGCGATTTCATCCTTGACGAAGAAGTACCGCAGGGCGATGTGCTTGGTTCGGTTGGCGAAGCCGTCCTTGTTCGCGATTTTGATCGCAGATTGGTTGTCGCAGAGGAGTGAGAAGGCGGGCAGGGTCGCGATCTTCGCTTCCTCGAGTAACTCCCGCAGGTAGAGTCCTTGCTTGGTCGCAGTACAAAGGGCGATATACTCTGCTTCAGCCGAGGATAGTGCGATTAACTCCTGCTTGTTCGACTGCCAGGAGATAGTTCTGATGGGTTCTAGTCGGTAGATGTAGCCCGTCCTAGATCGTCGATTTTCCCTATCTCCCGCGTGGTCAGCGTCGACGTATCCGAGTAGTCGTACGGACGGCGTTATCGCTTTGCTGTAGGTAAGCCCGATCGTCGGCGTGGACACGAAGTAGAGTAGTGCCCGGTTGAGCTCCTCGAGATCTTCCTGTTCCGGTTGCTTCAGATGCGTCGCCAGTTGACTCGCACTATAGGACAGGTCGGGTCGGCAGGTTACTGCTGCGAATATTAGGCAGCCGAGCTTCTGTTGATACTCCTGGATTTGCTTCGTGGGGAGTTTTGCGGAGGTGCTGTTGTTGTTCCCGTAATGGTAGGGAGTTGGGACAGTAGTCGGTGTTAGACCGAATTTCTTCGCGACGGTGCCTGAGTACTTTCCAGCGTGTAGGTAGAACGCCGTGTCGTTTTCGTCGACATTCAGTCCTAGGTACTGGGTCACTTCGTCGGACACCGTGAGTGTTAAGTCTTCTTTCAGCTCCCGTTCGAACCAGGTGGCGATGTCGGTAGTGGAGCCGATGTAGAGCAGGTCGTCGACGTAGACGATGAGTAGGATATACTCTCTTCCCTTCTGCAGTCGATACATTCCTTGGTCATGCGGCAGCTGTAGGAATCCGATTTTTGCGAGACGGCCGTGGAGATGCTGCTGCCAGAGCCGCGGGGCTTGCTTGATCCCGTATAGGGATTTTGTCAGTTGGCATACTTTCGTGGGGTCGTCGATGAATCCGTGGGGTTGTTCGACGAGAATCTCGGCGTCCACAGGTGCGTATAGGAACGCATTCGTGACGTCGATTTGGCGTAGTGGTAATGTCTTCGTGGCCGCGACGGCGAGTAGGATGCATAATGAGGTGTGACGGGAGACTGGAGCGAAGGTTTCTGTGTAGTCGGTCCCGTATCGTTGATCGAAGCCTCGTACGACCCATCGAGCTTTGAATCGTTCGATGGAGCCGTCTGAGTTGGTCTTAATGCGGTACACCCATTTCCCCGAGAGGACGTTCTTTCCGTTGATGCTTGTTGCAGGTACCAGTTTCCATGTTTTCCGGTCTTGCAGAGCCTTTAACTCCTTTTCCATCGCTTCCTTCCATTTCGCCTTATATTCCCCCCCCAAGAGCCTGCGACAGGGTCGAAGGCTCTCGCGGAGAAGGCGGCGGCGGATGCTGGACGGAGACCCAGAGGCCTAGAATCTGCAGTCCCGTGGGTGTATGTCGAGGGGAATTTTCATTCCCGGAATAAGCTGCTTCGTCACCGTCTTCTGGGTCAGGTAAGAAGTTGGGACCGATGCGTTCTGAAACATTTGTGTCGACTGGATGGGGTGTAATGTAACCTTGGTCAGCGAAGTGGTAAAAGGTGTCGAGGTTGTTGCTATCGAGAGGATTGTCTTCGTCGAGTGGAACAGGTACGGAACAGAATGGGAGTGCTCCGGCAGCTTCCGAGGCTTCAGGTACGTCTTCTTCTGCCGCGTCAGCTTCGGCAGCATGGTCGGCGAAGGAACGAAGTCCGGAGAAGCCGTCGGTGGGGTCTTGTGTGTTGGCAATGTTGTCCAGGTAATGCTGCAGCGTCAGTCGCTCGTAGAAGATAACATCACGTGATGCCACGGTATTTTTGTCTTGTATGTCGAGAATTTTCCACGCGTGAAAATGTTTGGCGATGCCGAGGTGTAGTCCCCACCGAGCTCGTTGTGTGAAGCGTCCTGCTCGGGCTGTGTGGGGTCTGTACTGTACCATGCAGCCGAAAACTCGGAGTAATTTTGTGCTGCCCCTTTTTCTTGTCCACAACAGGTGTGGTGATGCATTGTTGGGAAGCGATGACGAGGACAGCAGGTTGTGCAGGTGAACTGCATGTGTCATCGCGTCGGGCCACAGTGTTGTGGGCAGCCTCATCCCCAGAAGCAGTTTTCGCATCGTCGTCTGCAAGGTCCGGTTCATGCGTTCTGCGACCCCCTGCTGCTGGTGAGCATAGGGCAGAGACACCAGGCGTCCGATTCCTCTTTCCGCCAGATAGGTCCTGAAGCGTTGTGATTGGTATTCACCGTCTGACTGGAAGCTCTTGAGCTTGGTTCCTGATTCTCGTTCGGCGATGGGAAGCCATGTTGTGAAGGCGTCGAAAGCTTGATTGCGCGTCTTGAGATTGAAGTGCCAGATGTATCTGGTTGCTGCGTCGATGAACGTGATGACGTAGTTGAAGTCGGCTTCTGTGTCTTCTCGAGGCATGTTTAAAATATCGCTGTAGACCTTTTCCATCGGAGCGTATGTAGGTGCGCTTGGGTTGTGATGAGATGGAAAAGGCTGATGGGGAAGATCTGCTTCGGGGCACGTGAAGCACCGTGCTCGTGGTCGTCGAAGTTCTTGGCCGCTCGTCGTTGGGAGGGCGTTGCGTTCTAACACCTCTACTTGGATTGTTTGTAGTATCGTGCTGTTTGCAGGATGCCCGAGGCGTTGGTGCCAGATGTCGTCGGAAGCGCGATGACCTGGCGAGTGGTGGTATATGTCGGCGTTGGAGAAGAACGCGACGACTGTGGCGGGACTTCGACAAACTTCTCGTGGGATTGGCATAAGTTGGTCTGCTTCGGTTGGCGGTCCTCGGATCGTCGGTGGTGGGACTCGGCTGGGTCCTGCTGCTGCTACTGCAGGTGATGGTTTGGTTGGGATACTCGCGGGTACTTGTCTTTCTTGTCTGATGACTGCTAATGCTCGTGTTCTTTCTGTTGCAGGTATGGTGTTGGAGTGCCAGAAGCCGTCACTGTCGAATTCCGGATCAAGATCCGGCGGGTGTGTCCAGGCGGCGATTGATACGATGCCGTCGCTGTCGGCAGTACCGCGGTCGGGGACGAAGTCCAACACGAAGACGCCGGATTTCAGGAGGGCACGACCGATGAAGAGGCCACCCTTCCCGTGGTATAGCCGAAACTCGTTGGAGTAGGAGTCGCACTCC